GTTTCGAACCTCTAGCGAGCACAGGAGTACAAGGAGCAGGTGAACGCGATTCGTGTTCTGTATGCAGCCCAGGTGAGGAGGTGCTGGCTGCTCGGATCATGCAGGCTGAGATGTACCTGCAGCATGCCGTCAAGACTGCCAACGAGAGCTGCGGGACTCCCCCCCTGCGGCGGAGATCCAGCTGAGCGTAAGGAGATGGAGGATGGAAGGAGGAGACTGACCGGATCCTCTAGCATTCGCTGCCAGCCTCGCAAACATCACCTTTGATGATGATGCCGCCAAGAAGAAGGTGGCAGAGTAAGGGGTGGAGGCGGGAGGGGTTGACTCTCCCCCAGGCCATCGACTCTGCTTTCATCTCTGTCTGCGCTAGTGGCGACATGCAAGTACGGGCAACTGCTCCTGCTCCTCCTGCTCCTGGAGGAGGAGGAGGAGGAGGAGGAGGAGGAGGAGAGAGAGAGAGGAGGAGGAGGACACGTACAAGGCACCGTCGTCAGATACAACAGGAGCGCATTTTTTGGTGAGCTGCAAAATTGGTCAGAGCGGGGACGAGGAACCAAATAGCGGCGGAACCGTTGAACCACTGATGTTGAAGGTTGCTTGCCAGTGGTAGGATCGGACTGGCCAGTGGGGACACCGTGGCACAGTACGGTAAGTGAGGTATCTAGAAAGCAGTGATACGGCGTAGCTTACTTATTTCTGGCCGGCCCGGCGGTTGCATAGTCCGGCATGGCACATCCGATTGCACTGAGCGGATACCGTTGAAACTTGAAACGGTGACACATACATAGGATTCGTGCTTGCCAACCGGCGGTTTCGATCAGCTTTGTGAACTTTGATATGAGAGTACGGTCTGGTAACTTAGTAAAGGCACTGGCAACTGAGACCGGCGGCCCCGGGCCCGGTCCGAGCCTCAGCCTAGTAACGGGAAGGGCAGCAACGTCGCTGGTAGCGAACCTCTAAGACCGCCCCATTCTGTCTTTTTGCTTTTGTACCCAGTGCTTTTACTTACTGGGGTACCCCCCACCGTCTGTCCCGAGACAGCAGAGCAGGCATCACAAGGGTGGGTACTTTCCCGCCATCAGTCCACAAACTTTTATCTGGACATGGCAGAAGCCGCGACTATGAGAGCCGGGAGCGAGGAACAAGAGCGTCCTCGCAGAAGCCATGAGTCGCTGATTGCCACCGCAATGCGATTGCTGGGTGAGCAGGCGAGGGGCGATCAGATTGCCCTCCTGGCGATGTTGCTCCAGGAGAAAGAGATGGAGAAGGAGTTTGAGATACAGCTAGTGATGAAGGACAGGGACATGGCGCATGCCATCCAAATCAACAAGTTCAAGCGTCAGTTGTCCTACGTCACTCAGAGGTGAGGTTCCTTGCTGCCGCACCTTGTGGTCTCAAGGTGGTGTGAGGGGATGACTGGAGTTGCAACACAGGTATCTCCTCGAGAAGCTTTTCTTCAAGGTATTTTCGCTGGTCGACTCACAGGATCGGCCAGCACAGCAAGCCTTAGCTAAGCTGCCGACGTCACTACGGAAGCGGTTCAAGCAGAAGAGCTTGTCGATGACAGAGCTGAACAGGCTGCTGCTCGCCAATCATAAGCTACGGATAGCAGCATGGGAGTACGTGGGACTGCCTCGATGGCTCCAATTGCCTCATTTCGATGAGAGCCCGGAGCTCCTCTGCGGCATCTTGTCGGAAGCGATGCACTCTCCCAACGGAGCTTACGTGTACATATCAGATCAGGCGCCTGCAGTGGAGGCAAAATTCTTCAAGAATCTCGCCAGGGTGTTTCGAAAGGAGCTAGAGACCTACAACCAGGACTTGGCAGAGCAAGGAATACAGGAGGAGGTAGTCGAGGCTCGCCGAACCGCGGCCACAGCTGCCCCCGTCGCCGATGCTTCAGCCTAGGAGGTTTGTTTGGCGGACCTGAAGGCTTCGATGGAGTTCAAAGGCTTTGTTGCCTCAAGATCGTCTTCTCTCTGAGTACGGTTTGCCTGCGGTCGGCGCGAGCGGGTTGTAGACGAATTGACTTGAAGGGACATTATTATTTAAAAAGTAAGCCAAACGAAACTGCTTCAAGCACACGATCAAGTAGGTGCTCGGATCCTCCCAGAAACAAGGGTCATCAATCCAAACCTCTCTCTCTGCGTCGAAAGTCATAGAAAGCCAACTTCGACGTGCAGAAATCTCAATATGGCCTTTGGAGCACTTCACCGTGACTATTCTGATGTATTTTTGATTTTTACGATTTCAAGGTGTAAGGAGCTATTTGATATTTTGTCAAGTGTCTAACAAGTGTCTAACGTTGAGTAAAGCTCGAAAAAATGCAACGAGCGACATCAGAATAGTCACGGTGAAGTGCTCCAAAGGCCATATTGAGATTTCTGCACGTCGAAGTTGGCTTTCTATGACTTTCGACGCAGAGAGAGAGGTTTGGATTGATGACCCTTGTTTCTGGGAGGATCCGAGCACCTACTTGATCGTGTTCGGCGAGCCTCGACTACCTCCTCCTGTATTCCTTGCTCTGCCAAGTCCTGGTTGTAGGTCTCTAGCTCCTTTCGAAACACCCTGGCGAGATTCTTGAAGAATTTTGCCTCCACTGCAGGCGCCTGATCTGATATGTACACGTAAGCTCCGTTGGGAGAGTGCATCGCTTCCGACAAGATGCCGCAGAGGAGCTCCGGGCTCTCATCGAAATGAGGCAATTGGAGCCATCGAGGCAGTCCCACGTACTCCCATGCTGCTATCCGTAGCTTATGATTGGCGAGCAGCAGCCTGTTCAGCTAAGCTCTTCTGCTTGAACCGCTTCCGTAGTGACGTCGGCAGCTTAGCTAAGGCTTGCTGTGCTGGCCGATCCTGTGAGTCGACCAGCGAAAATACCTTGAAGAAAAGCTTCTCGAGGAGATACCTGTGTTGCAACTCCAGTCATCCCCTCACACCACCTTGAGACCACAAGGTGCGGCAGCAAGGAACCTCACCTCTGAGTGACGTAGGACAACTGACGCTTGAACTTGTTGATTTGGATGGCATGCGCCATGTCCCTGTCCTTCATCACTAGCTGTATCTCAAACTCCTTCTCCATCTCTTTCTCCTGGAGCAACATCGCCAGGAGGGCAATCTGATCGCCCCTCGCCTGCTCACCCAGCAATCGCATTGCGGTGGCAATCAGCGACTCATGGCTTCTGCGAGGACGCTCTTGTTCCTCGCTCCCGGCTCTCATGTTTAAAGGACAGACAGACTGGGGCGGTCTGAGAGGCTCGCTACCAGCGACGTTGCTGCCCTTCCCCTTCAACTCTCTGACAGTAGTACAAATTAAAGTAGAGCTATGGCATCTACTAGGTAGGATTCAATGTACTACACATTTGTTTTCTGTAAGGTTTATAGTTCAAACTATAAATGTCAAACCTCGATCGGATAGGGGGAACACAGAGCCCGGACTAACTTGCCAGGCTTGTACTACTTGCAGTTGTCTCATGTGGAATCTGACTCAGTTTGCCAGAGTGAGAGCGTTCGGATGCTTGACGTCTTGAGCACTGTTCAAGTACATCTTTCAATTTGCTGCGCCGCCGCACAATCCAGAAATTTGCCCCGTGCTTATTCGCTCAGCTCATGCAAAGGATGGTGTTTCTGGCTGCAAACGAGCGTCATGGCAGCCTGGATCGCGCCGGAACGCATTCCTTGCGGAAGGGTATCCGACCTAAGGTGAAGATAGGTACTTCCGACGTTGGCAGGGGAGACGCGGGATCACTACATGCTGGGTGATCAGGTGGAGACTTGAGTCAGTCTGCTGGCAGGATTCTTGCTGGAAACGATACCGGGTCTGCTGACTTTGCGGTGCTTCCACCACACTTCACATCGGAAGGGCTGGCACAAATAGAAGTCATAGGCTGGGAGAGATTCATATCAGGTTACAGCAGTTTCCCAGCGGGATTTCAAAAGTGTGTGCGTTTCTTCCTTGCCAGCATCATATACCACCTTCCTACTCTACATGAATGGTTTCCATACAGCAACGACGATATATGGGGACTGCCAATGTTTGGAATCTTCGGACAACGCAGTATGGCAAGCCGATGTTACTGCGACAGCTTGTCATCGTCACTGCACACAAATGCAACCATTGCGGCATGACGGCTAGCTGGATTCCGACACAGACTGAAATATTGACAGGAATGAAAGAGATGAGTCAGCTAGTGCGAGAAGCTATCAGGGAAGAGATGAAGGTGTTCGGGGAGATGTTGGATCAGAAGCTGAAAGTATTAGAGGAAACGATGGTTCACAAAATTGATGATCTCAAGATTCTAATCACTCGAGAGATACGTACATCATTCGTTGCTGCATCCTTGAGTGATGTTGGTAGTCGGGGCGATGCTACATCTGCAACCTTGAACAAGTGGCAAATGTAGAGCAACAGGTGCAGTCCGCCGTGAACGAAGCGATCAGGCCTTTGCAGTTGGCACTGAATGGTGCAGGCAATGCTGGGATGGCACTTGCGGCTGGTCAAGGTATGGCAGTTGCCTTAGATGCAGCATGTGATGGCAGTGAGTCCCAGCATGGTGAAGAAGTGGTCAGGGAGGGAACACCGGGAAGGAATGCTGTGCTGGTGTCGTCAGAAGTACAGGCAGGCCATGCCAACGAGGAGGTACAAGTTGGAGGGGACTACTTTCAATGGGAAGGATTGGGGCCTGGCATCCATATGGTCCCGTTTTGCTTTAGGTTTCCATTGCGGTGTAGAGTTCGAAATGTGTTCATGTGGTGGAACTTGGGTCAAGATGTGATCGTAGATGGACAGGTGCAAAGGATTCGTCCCTTGAAGCACCTCAGTAGCGTTCCTTCCTCCAGAGACCTTGCAGGTGATAGCAACACAACCAAGAATTTCTAAAAAACATGTATTGTGATGACTATGATTGAGAACATATGTCGAGAGCAAAGGTACGCCGCTACCAGGCGAAGAGATCATGTGAGTCTGATCCTCCATTCTTCTACCCTGTCTCATCACCTGAGCTGATGATCATCAGCTGCTGCCTTTGTCATCTTCAACAACTCTGCATTCATGTTCGTCGTTCCCTCGTGATTCACTTGTTATCTCATCCTAGTCTCTCTTCCTGTCCTGTCGTCCTTCTCTCTTCAGGTATGAAGACAACCTCTCTTCAATTATGAAGGTCACAGCTGACAGATGTTGACGTGGCTTGGCAGTTCTGTATGGGATTTGATATGGGAAGTGTGAGGAAAGGCGGGAGGCAAGAGCGACGGAGAAAGGATAAGAAGGAGCAGGAATTTAAAAGGAGAGAACAAACACTGGGATAAGAGGAGGAGATAAAGGAATGAAAAAGGAGAGAACAAACACTGGGATGAGAGGAGGAGAGAAGGAGGGAGACGAAGACAACACCAAGACAAAGACAACGAGGAAGGGAAGAGGAAGAGGAGAGGAAGAGGAGAGGGGAGGAGAGAGAAGGACTGCCATGAGTAGTGGGTAGATCGGCAAAGATGTTTTCAGAGAAGACCAGGTACAAATTTATTATCATACTGTACATGATTTGTACCTAATTGATCAAAATGTCATTATTGTAGTACTGGAAGTTGTACTGGAAAATATATTCTATAAATTTATTACATCCGGGCCTCCGGGACCCGGAGCCCGAACCGATGGCCCGGACACTGAATCGGAATCGCGGTGGAAATATGAGCGGGGATGAGGGCTGGTTCCAGAAATAGACGATGGCACGGCGAGGGGCGGGGGTAGGGGAGGGATGCAGACGAGCGTGTGAAGAGACAGAGATGGTTGAGATGGATCGATGCAGGAGGTAGGTAGGTAGGGAGGAGGAGCATCGGATGCCTAGAGGAATGGCGGTCGGCACCTTGAGGGACCGTGGGGGGACAAAGGGGAGGGAGGGATGTAAAACGGTACAGGGAAGTTTGGGATGAAAGAGAGAAGTGGACGATGACGATGACAGAGAAGATAATCGAGATTTGTTGATGGAGATAGAGTCTGTGCTGGATCTGACGTGTCCCCCAGACAGGCAACCATGTCTTGGTCAGGGACGAAAAACGGAGGTCGACTGCGTGCAGTTGTATCGCTGTCGGTGCTTCTCATGGTTGCCATAATCGCTGTGGCCTCCATGCGGTAACAGCGACAGCATGCTCTCTGCCTGTCATGAGGATGACGCTGGTGCAGGAGAGATGGCTCGATCATGGAAGTAGAGTTAGTCTCGCTGGACCCGCAATGCCGGGCTGCGTTGCAAGAGGCGGCTAACGCATTGGGGTGGTCCTCGTTGGAGGATTATGAGCAGAACTTGATCTCTCAGGGCAAGCCCGTCAAGTGCGGAGATCGAGTTGTGAAGCTGAAGGACACGACCCAACCCAAGAAGTCTGAAGACGTGATCCAGTGGCTGTTTGGTAATCTGTTCGACGACCACCATCGTGCTGTCAAGAAGGGGGAGAAGGTTGAGCGAACGGCGGTAAAGAATGCTGAGGTGCATGCAACTGTTGCTCAGACACGTCCGCATGCTGGAGCGATCGCAGGAGGAGAGAAGCAAGTCCACTCAGACAAGAGCTCGCTGAAGGAGGCAACTGGCCAGGGGCAGGACAAGGCAGCTAGTGCAGTAGAGGAGCACGTGCAGAAAGTTCGTATCGCTTCCGCCCCTCAAACAACCCAGAAAGTTGCTGCTCGTCCTGTTGCTGAGCAACCTGCTAGCACACAGGTTGCGAAGCAGCTGAAACCGCTGTCATGGCCTGCTGTTGGTTCTACCCTCCCTGAGAGATCAGCCAAGGTCAGCGGGCAGGGTCAGGAAAGTTTGGCGTCTAATGCAGAGGGAAAGTCTGCGAGCCAGAAGCTGAGTGTGATGACTTTGAATAAGTTGGAGAAGAAGGCGAAGGTGAGATGTTGATGAAACAAGTGATTGTTGGGTGATAGTAATGATGATGAAGCGGTGATGATGATGATGGAGATGATGATGATGATGATGATGAATGATATGATGATGGGAGTGTAAGTGATGATTTCTATGATGGAGGTAGAGATTACCAAACTTGGTGAACGCGGTTTCTGATGTCGCTGTTTTCATCAATTTGCTAACATCTGTTCTGTTCTGCCACATGTCCAACATCCAACTCTCTCCACCATGCTGAATCTTCCTCCACCTTCAATTCCCCGTCCTCGCCAATTTTTGCTCACTTTTCTATTTTTTAGAAGCTAGGCTATCTCCTGGTACCCAAGTCGCTGGAGCGGGAGGCGAAGAATCTAGGATACGATCTGGTACCTGAAGCACCAGCTGCCAAACAGGAGGAGGAGAAGTATGTGCTGGAAAGCAGCGTGGACAAGACGTCCCAACTTGCTCAGATTCCAATGAAGAGATCAGAGCTTGTCAAGGAGAAGAAGGAGGGAGCTGAGAAGAAGAGCGAGGAGGAGGAGAATGGGAAGGGAGACGAGTTGCTGGGAGGGAGCAAAGTGAGGCTGGAGGAGGAGGCGAAGTTGGAGTCAGAGCTGAAGGAGCACTTCAAGGAGAAGGAGGAGAGGAAGAAGAAGATGCTGAAGGAGGAGGCACAGCAGAAGAAGAGGCGGGAAGAGGAGGCTGCGATGAGGGCAGTCAGGCGATACGGAAGCATGCTAACGTTCCCTGATGAAACAAGAGCCAAGTTCCTCAAACTCGTTGAGAGGCCTGCGGAGCAGGTGAAGGATGAGGAGGTGAGAAATCAAGTTTACTTGTGCGCCTGGGGGATACTCGTTTGATTGGACTGGCCCTCATGAGTTTTGTGGTTATGATGATGATGGACATGATGATAACGACGACGACAATACATCGATGACGATGACGACGACGACGACGACGACGATGATGATGATGATGATGATGATGATGATGATAAAGTTGTGGTGTTGAATGGACTAAGGGAGGGATGAATTTTGCAGAAGGAGTCACGATCTTTGCAGACATCCATGATTAGGAAGAAAGCTTTCAAGACAGCGGTGAAGCAACTCAACGACTACAACATCTTGGAGTTCAAAGAAGATGAGGTGAACGACATTGAGTCCACACATGCTGTTGTAAGCTGTTTCTTATCGTATCTTGTCTCAGTTGCATCATTCTGCCGGCAGCAAGGCCAGTGACAAAACAATCGCGGAAACCAATGAAGGGAAGACGAAAGTTGTAAACAAGCAGACAAGCTTGAAGCAACGGGTGATGGTGCAAACAGAGAACAAGAGCAAAGTTGGAGAAAAAGACAAAGTCTTCACGGCCGTGAAGGCAACAGATGTGAAACCAACTCCTCAAAGTGCGAAGACGGTCATTGCACCAAGAACAGCAAAGCTGCAATGGGATGGGAAAGGAATCCCTCATTTTTGAAGCACCGATGATTGAGATGTAACTTTCTTTATTCTTTGATGGTTGGGTGTTTTCCGATCTCAACCAAGATTTTCTTCTCTTCCATCGTCTTCGTCTCCATCAAAATGTTTGTTTTGAATGTAAATATACAGTGTGGTAATCGCTCCCCAGCTCGTCTTGCGTGTTCATCCTTATCTACACATGATCTCCATTGCATCTATCTCCTTTGCCGACGATTGCACGAGGAGTTGGACGAAAATTCGCGCAAGAGCAGAAAGTTTGTCCTGTTGTGATGTCAACAAGGTTGTCACCTGGACCTCTGAGAGAGTTTCTGATCGATTGAAACCTCCTCCTCCTCTTGCTCTCGTTCTCCTTCTCTGGTCCTGGTCCTGCTCGTTCTCGTTCTCGTCCCTGCTATCATCATCTTCGTCTACAGTACACTTTCCCCCTTCCCCTCCTCCTCCTCTTCCTCTTCCTCCTCGTCCTCGTCCTACCTCGTCTTCTCACAGGCTGTTGGCATACTCTTGCTCCATCGCCAGAACTTCATCAGGCTCCATCTCCTGATTGCGCGTCAGCGATGGGGAGACAGGGAGCAGGCGCGACTTCGTAGCGGAGAGTTTTCTCGTTGAACTTGAAGGGGACGCAACCTAGCGATCCGTCGAAACGATTCTTGCGAATGTCCAAGTACTGATGATGATGAGAAGCGAAGAGGAGGAGGAGGAGGGAGGAGGAGGAGGAGGGAGAGGGAGGAAGGCGGAGGAGGGAGCAGGCGGAGGAGGAGAGGCGAAAATTCAGCTTGTGATCACGTTTCTGCTACAATGAAAAAGAAGTACCTTGATGGCTCCGTTGGTTTGTAAGATAATCACATTGTCGCTTTCTTGCGTTGCCTTGGCAGTCCCGAAGATCTGAAAGAAGACAGCAAGTGATGTTAAGCTATCTCCAGCATCATCTTCATCTTCATTGTCATCATCTCCATCATCATCATCACCGAGGAGAGGGTAAGCAGCTGGCTCTCGTCGTCCTTGCGTGGATGAATCACCTGCGAAATGTCATATTCAAACATCTGAAACATCAGAACATTCAAACACTCCGTTGCAACAAAGACAATTCAAATTGACAGATAACAATGAAAGATTGAGGATGTTGTGAAAATTTACATTTACAATCATCAGCATGAAGCTCAACAACCGATCTCACTTCCTTACCAGCGAGATGTGAACATTGAAATCTGTTGCAAACAAGCGAAGTTTGTGAATGGCCTGCAACATCCAGAAATTCATTCCTCCCCCACGTTGAGACTATTTTCTGTTAAACCCACCTGATCTAGAATCTTGAACGTGTCACTTTCGCGATAGGCTCCCGATGTCATGAACTGCAAATTGAATCACAAAAAGATGAGAAATATGGTGCAGCGAGTTACTTGTAAGTTGTCGAGGACGACATGTTTGACATCTTTGGAGTAGACTGCAAATTCCATCGCGTCGAGAACCTAGAAGAAACGAGAAGATTCATGTCATTGAGATGATGATCAGGTTGAGCAAGGGAGTACTCGACAACACAGCAGAGTAGAAACAAACACTACAACTTACATCATCGATCAATTGTTGCAATTCACATCATCATCCATCGAACACTACAACTTACATCATCAATATCAGTTGTGCCATAATACGACAAGAACCACAACGGCAGCTGTGAAAATGCATCCGCCGCATCGTTGAATTCGCGATCAGAGCAACCCTGATATATTCATCAATCAGTTTCATTCGCAATCATTCAAAGCCCATCCAATCTTGTTCAATCTCCCTACAAAACTTCTACTGCTAGCTCCTCCTCCTACTCTCTCTCTCTCTCTCTCTCTCTCTCTCTCTCTCTCTCTCTCTCTCTGTCTCTCTGTCTCTCTCTCTCAATCTTTCTCCTACCTTCTGCCTTCGTCCCCTCCCACATCTTCTTTCTGCCTTCTCCCCCTCATGACTCTCCTCATCTTCTCCTCCGGTCTCCTCATCTCACCCGCAGCGACTTCTTCGAATGCTGCTGCAGCATCTTTGCGCCGAGACGAGCATTCTTGATCTCAAAACTTCCCCACAGGGTGTGAACTCCTTGTTCACAGAGGTCGATGCTCAACTGAGACAGCATCGTCGTCTTGCCCTGTGAGAACGAAACAAGTCAAGGTTCAAGGTGGGATGTTGAGGATTGGGGTGAGATGTGACAAAGATGAGAAAGACGTAAGGTATGAGATAAGAGATAAACAATTTTGACATGTATAATACACTTCATCATTCGCTTTGAGACGGATGTATCATATCACACAGTGCAGATGTTTGAATCATGCACATGAGAACGAGAAATCGACCAGACAACTTCACCTGCCCTGTCCTTCCCGTGACTATAGTGAATTCTCCCGGCCGATGGCCCTGCAAGTCGTCCAAGTCAAAAATAGATCTCACATCAAAAAGCACAAAACGATCACGTTTCCAACATTCATCCTCGAAATCAATAATTCTTCACTTCCTCTCATCTAAAGTCTCTGCACGTTGTACCTTGAGGATCTTGGTCAAGGTTGGCAGTGCTGATCCGAAAGAAATCCCAGAGATGGAGTTGTAACTCGTGAGCTGTTCTTGTATCTCCCTCCTGATGTCCTCGAACCGCAGTATGTGATCATGGGGAACAATCTGTGCTTTGGACAGGATTGTCGAGATTTCGTATTTCCTCTCCTCCTCTTGAAATCTTCGTTTCGTGCTTGCTATCTCCATCTCTGCCATCTTGTATTCCTCACTCTCAGCTGATCTCGACTCCATGATTCCTAACAGCCTCCTCTCCATCTCTCCTATCTGTAACTTGTGCTCCCTTTGCAAGCTCCGCAGCAACTGAAGCGCATCGTTGGCATCCTTTGGACCACTGTTACCACCATCTCTACACCAGACGACTTTGCAGCGATGACGGCCGAGTTTCTTCAGACACATCCTGGCTCCTTCTCTTCCAGGAACATCGTCGTCCATCCACAGGTATATCTTGGGACTTGTTCAGTGCATGCAAGGCAAAAACAATTCGTGCTCACTGTTTGAAAACGCTCCAGCATCGCAATCAGCTCCACGGGAAGAGAACTTGCTCCGTTGGGCAAAGACAAACTCGGTAAACCCGTTTCCTGTTGTTCACACGTTATCCAGTGCGTTAAAAGTTCAGCCCATCTAGAACAAACTGACAACGTTCGGACAGCCATCGATCAAGGGAATTCATCATCCAACATGCATCAGACACGCATCATTCGCTCTCTTTCGATGTCATCACATGTCAACCTGATACACTGTCATCGCATCGATCTCCCCTTCAGTCAGAACAATCTCAGTTGTATCCTCGGACACCGTAGTCCACCTTCACAACAAGTCACAAACGACAATGAGACAATGACTTTCTGCAGTCCCCCTCCATCATCACCCGAAGAATCCCCATATGTTTCCCGATGGATCAAGCTTCATGCACTTCTTGTCTTCAATGGCTCGAACTTTCACCCGAACCAACTCTGACTCGGTCGGTGAAAACCAGGGAAACGTTACCGACATTAAGTTCCTTCCGTTGAACCTGTTCATCATAGCGCACAAGTCAGCAAGCCCCGGAAAGACATCGAGAGAGCATAACACGCTGAGCATGAGGAGGAGAAGCATCTCACCGATAGATCGCAACACCAACACAAAACTTCTCCAGGGTCTTGAGAGTCAGGCATCGTTTCTCCGTCAACCACGCGATAGCAGGCAGGCAGTTTGGAAGGGCTCTCGCGTACTTGCGGAAAACATTCTCATCTCCGACCCCAATCTCTGTTCTAGTCTCAAGACTGGATGGAACTCCGTTGACAGGATCGATAGTCCTCTTGGGATCAAACACGGTCGATGCGCTCTGCAAAGTTTCCTGCAACCACCCTGAGTGAAAGGGACAGGCAGGAATGCCGATGAAGCAATCAAGGAGCAGAGCCATCACACTAATCACCTCATATGCAACTCCTGAGATAGCTTTCTTCAGGTCGTACCAGTTGCCTGAAGCGTTACAGCGGAAGCAGGAGTAACTCCCATTCCTCTGGTGAACCCCAAACGTGTACTGGTTTGACGGGTGCTGCATCAATGTCATGGCGCTGCCGACGAGACTGGAGAGCGTGCGTTACCTCCTTGGATTGCTTCTGACTTTCACTTCCTTTGCAAACACTGGAGGGACAGGACTGGATGTTGATCCATTCCCCGTTCCTACACCCACTTTGTGAGATGGAACGCATTCCTATCGGCCACTTGCCTCTTGCAGTTGGTGAAGCCCTTCCTCTCCAGGAACTCGAGGACAGAACCCATAGGTATCCCTTCATAGTACTTGGACACGAACAACTCGTTCTTGTCCTTCGAGAGCTTGCTAAGGGCAGAAGCATGAAACCTTCTGCTGCCTCTAGAGGTAGTAAGGCAAGCCGGTCGGATCCTGACCAGCCGACATGCCCCCATAGCAAACTTCATTCCTCCTTACTCCACCCTCTCCTCCTCTTGAACCTGACTGTACAACCTTCTCTTCCTCCTCCTCGTCCCTTCCCTTCCTCTTTCTCCCCACTCGCTCGCTTTCCCGTCTCCCTGCCAACCCGCCTTTACCCGCCCAGTACCACCCTACCCCTTCGCCAGGTAGGGAAGGTTACTACCTACCCTTGAAAAATACTCTAATCCTTTAGGAAAAATACCCACCCACCATGAGGACTTCAGTACCCCTACCACCTACTATTAACAATTGCAAAGCGTGCAAAAACTCGGACCTTGATGGAGATAAGGGGGGATGAGGGCCCTGACCGGGCCCGGGCGGTGATCGGACATGACGGTGCCGCCGCACTGAAGAGACTGGTGATCCGGGAGGTCCGGCTGAACCGTTGAACAGAACGGTCCGAATTCTTGCGGGCACCGTCACTGGTGACCAGTCACCGGACTCGGAGCGCCGCAGCCTTCACTCAGTCGGAGTCCGAGTGAGGGCCGGGCCGGGCCCAGAGCGAGCGCCGCCGGGCCCGGCCGCAAGTGAGCCTGCGCCAGATTCCCGCCTGCGCCTGGCCTGCGCGGCCGGGCCGGATCTGAGGAGGGATGAGGGGGAGTGAGAAGCGGCGGATGGGAGGGGCGCGGCAATGCGCGCGGTAGACGAGGGAGGAGGAGGAGGAGGAGAGTGAGCGAGCGAGGGAGCGACGAAGAGGAGGAAGAAGAAGGATGAGGATTGATATGTGCTGCTTCCTCTGATCATACCTGCGTGATGGCCCTCAACACCAGGGGCTCCTATAGGTCCCACATGCTCCTCCTCCTCCTGGGGTTAGTTTCCGGTCCGTCCATACGGTCCAGCCAAGCGATCGAGATGGAGCTCGATGCTATGCGTGCCATGCGCACGGCCTCCAGGGTCTCTCCATGCTGGAGGCCAGAGGGAGGAAGGAGACTGGAGGGTTGCCACCTGTCGGGCCCACCAACCTTGCGGCTCAAGGGAGGCATGGATCAGAACAAGCTGATGGAGTTTGAGAGCATCCTAGAGCAGCTGCAGCATCCTGAAGCTACGGCGCAGCAGCGACAACACGCGCAACAGTTTGCTCTCATGCTCCAGAACCCGGTTGACCTGTCTGAGATCGACGAAGGCCTCCTCAGCCAGAAGGCCGGCGACGCGAGCGGCAAGCGGCAGCTCGCAGTCCAGAAGCGGATGGCACAACTGCAGCACATCCTCGACCACTCAAGATCCGCTACAGCACAAGTGATTGCTTGCAACAGCTTGACAGCGTTGATCACCAACAACTGGGACAACATCACCATCCCACACGTGGAGATCAGGAACTACGCGCTGACGTTCCTGTTTGCGCAAGTCGGATCCCCCAGCGTGCCCATGTATGTAGTCAGAGCCATGATGAGGCTGCTGTCACGCGTGACGAAACTCGGATGGCTCCAGTGTGACGTTCACCGCAACATCCTTGCAGACCTGAACAGGTTCTACGACGCCTCTGTGGAGCACTACATCATGGGGCTGCAGATCAAGTACGACTTGGTGGAGGAGATGGACGTACCTGCTCAGACGAGGAAAGAGTATGTTCTCAAGCGCCACTTTCTCGCCTCCGGGCTGCTGAACATCTTCAAGATCTCCTTGGATACACTGCAAAAGCTGCAAACACAAATGATACCGGATTCTAGAAGGGCGTCCGGTCTTATGGACGCGGCGCTGCAGCTTGCGATCCGATGCTTGTCATACGATTTCATGGGGCAGTCCAACGAAGAGACTGAATCCTTCTTTCTCCCTGTTCCGATGCAGTGGAAAGCAGAGATCAAGGATCCCTCCCTCGTTGACCTGTTGTTCAAGGTGTACTACGAGAGTCGCCCTCCGCAGTCATCCCGTGCTCTAGAGCTCCTCATGCTTTTCATCTCAGTGCCAAGGTTCTCGTTGGACGCGCCAGCAGCCGGCAGCAGAGTCTTCAACGGGATTAAAGACATCTTCCGAGGAGCCGCCGGGCTCGTTGAGCGGGAGAATCACCAGACGGTCTGCAAGCTGTTGGGAGCGTATCGTGACCTTGACGTGGTCGGAAGGAGCAAGAAAGTTGTCGAGTACACAGAGTGGCTGTCTCTCGCTGCGAACTTCACCATCGCCTCCCTCAAGTCCGTTGAGACGCCGACCAACAGCCTTCACTACCTGATGCTGTTCTGGTGGCGGCTAGCTACTCAAGGTCGAAGCCAGGGCTCGGGGACGAACCTGCTTGCTAGAATCGTTGCGATGCACCAGGCAAACAATGATGACTCTGAATCACAGGAGAAGAACACGCAGGGGATCATAGAGAAATTCATCCCCGAGGTTGTCAACGCCTACATCCTCGGAAGGCTGGACAGCGTGGAGGCGGCGGCCAACGGCAGGATAGATGATCCCCTGGATGACGTTGACATGCTGCAGAGTCAGCTCGAGCTGCTTCCTGTCATTGCCAGCAACCAATACGCGGCCATCGGCGGGTGGCTGACAGAAGTCCTCGATCGGACATCGAAGATGTACGAGGCTGCCATCAGCTCTGGGGCAGCTGGACCGTCGCATATGCTCGAGAAGCAGCTCTCGTGGCTGGTGCGCGTCTGTGCGGCCATGATAGGTGGGCACTACACGCTCGACACGCAGATCAAGATCGAAGGGGGCCGGGTGCTGCCAACCGCCGTCATGGGTACGAACATGCAGGAGGGCGATGAGATGGTGGATGCCGACTTGATCTGGAGAATGCTGCAGCTGATGATGCTGATCGAGAGGAGGAACTCTGCTCTCAACCTGGGAAGGTGCGACTACCGCCTTGAGATCGCCATGCTCTCGTTCATGGACAAGTTGAAGCAAGGGATCTTGTACGTCGACGCTGCTCTAGAGCAGAACAAGGAGTCGGACGAAGACAGCGGCTCCCGATACTCGATGCCTCACTTCCTCCAGAGCCTGCTGGGCAAGAGGATGCAGGTGAATCTTCCCAAGGAGGTATACAAGGAGATCTTTCAGAGGATAGGGCTGGGAGACCACAAGGACGTTCTCAGCATACTGGTACGAAAGGTCATCACCAACCTCAAGGTCTGGGCGGACAACCCGCTGGTTGTCAAGGAGACTCTGCTGATGTTTGCTACCATGGTACAAGGTCCAGCAGGAGGGAATGCAGCTCGGATGCTGCTGGACTTGGAGGTGACGAAGAGCCTTCTTGTCAACCACAACGGGGAGCACGTGGCATTCCTCTCTTACCCCGTGAACGCCAAGCAGCGGACTACCTACTACCTCACCCTCATGCAGCTTCTCGTGACCAACCCCGAGGACCCCGATGCCTCTGGAGCCTTCGAAGCGTTCCTCCACCCTCTGCTCTCCACCATGGCGTATCTCAACAGCATGTCCAGCTTGCGAACCGAGGAGGCAAAGTTCGCCATCATCGGGCTGGCAAGAGACCTCCGAGGGATCGCGTGCGCGTCCAACGTCAGGCTCTTTCCCATCCTCTTTGAATCTCTATACCCCAGCTACCTCCCCCTCTTCACCCGCGCCCTGGACGTCTGGCACGACGACCCGGCCGTGACTGTCGCTGTACTCAAGTTCTGGATGGAGATGGCAGAGAACAAGGAGGAGAGGATCAGGTTCGACGCCGCGTTCCCCGGAGGCCTCCTCCTCTTCAAGGAGATGTCTCGATCGATCACTACGTACGCCCACCATTTGCTCAACCAGGGGCCCCTGCCCGAGGGAGTGGACGCGTACAAGGCCAGGTACAAGGCCCTGGGAGTGTGCATGGCGAGCGTTTCTTTGGCCATATCAGGGGAGTACGTCTCCTTCGGAGCGTACACGCTCTACGGCGACCAGATCGCAGAGGAGGTGGTTTCTGTGCTGGTCCAGCTGGCCCTGTCGATCCCCGAGCGGGAGCTGCTCGCCTTCCACAAGGTCGCCACCTCCTTCTACTCCTTCATCGAGGCTCTCCTCCGCCATGCCATGTCCATGGTGATCGCGCTCGAGACCAACACCGTCGTCAAGCTCCTTCAGGTCTGACTGGCATGAGTTGCTCCTTCTCCTTCCCTTGCTCCTGCTCTTGCTCTTCCTCTTGCTTCACCTTCTCTTCCTCCTGCTTCTCGTCTTGGTCCTGGTTCTTCATCTCGTGTTCCTCCACCTCGTCCTCTTCCGTTGACTTGACAGTTGCTTCCTGCGCAGTTTCTCCATCATGGCCTTGCCAACGCCCTCCAGCAGAACGTTCACATCCTATGTGCGAGGAGCATCGACCGTTTTGCTGCCTTCCTCTTCAGGAACAAACACCGCCAGACCTCTCTCGCTAACCGAATGCGCCTTCACATGGAGCAGGTACCATCTCACTTCTTGTCCTGTCCCTCCCTCTCCCCCTCCTCTCCTCTCACTTGTCGGTCACGGAGGCTCTCCCAGTCTCCTCCCCCTTCCTCAGCAGCTCCCACATTCTGCTCACTCCTCCCTCCCTAACCTTCTCCCCCCCCCTCCCTCCCCCCTTGCCTTCTTTCCAGTCCCTCCCCTTGTCCTCCCTCCCCTTGTCCTCCCTCCCCTTGTCCTGCTCCCCTTCTTCTCTCCTCCTCTCCACCTTCCTCTCCCTTTTCCCCTCCCTCCCCTGATTCGTTTCCTTCAGGTTCCAACTTTGCTAGAGGACCTGCAGCTTGTGCTCTTGAAGCAGATCATCACCGACGAGCACATCGAGCTTGGGATCCTGTCGCACCCTCTTCTCTCCCTTATCCTCGCGTCCGAATCTGGTTTCACCAGGGTCTCTAGCAAGGTCTTGCTCCCCTGTCCTCGCGTTCGCTCCTTCGTCCTCCTCGTCCCTCCGCGTTGTCCTCGTCGTCTCCGCTCCCTTCCCTTTGGACACCCTGCCTCCTCCTCTTGTCTTCCCTTCGTTCTCTCTCTCTCTCTCCTTCCCTTCCTGCCTCAATCTTTCTCCCTCCTTCCTCCTTGCTCCCACTTGCTCTCTCCTTTTCCTTCTTTTCCCTTCACCTCCTCTTGTTTCTCTCTTTCCTTCTCTTCCTCTCCCTCTTGTTCTCCTTCCCTCGCTCTCGTCTCTCCTCAGACTTTGTTCTGCTCTTCTCCTCTGGCTCTAACGATGCTTCAGTTCGTGTCCAACCAGCCGGCCGAAGAAAGAGCCTCAGTCGCCGAGGCGTTCGGAGAATTGATGCAGGGTAACCATGAGTGAAGAGTGGGAGGAGCAGAAAGGAGGGGGGGGGGGAGTGGGGGAGAGAGGGAGGAGGAGGACAGGATATCCGAGGAGGAAGGACGAGGAGCGGGCAGAAGCGAGGAGAGGGGAAGGAGAGTGTGGAGGGACGGTTGAGAGACGTTGAGCCTGAGGGAACATGGGGGGGGGGGAGAGGGGGAGAGAGGGAAAGGGTTGATGGGAGGGAAGGGGAGAGGACGATCGGAAATGAAGAGCTTGCAAGGAAAGGACAGGGGATATGGAGGAGGGGAGAGGAAAGGGGCGTGTGGAGAGAAGAAGAGCAGCGAGTTGGTTTCACGTGATCGAGTTTGTGCTCAGGTGTTGAAAGGAATCTTGAGATGTCAAACAGAAGGACGTTCTTGATGAACGTTCAGGTCGATTCCTTCACTTTACCCCTGCCCCCTTCTCCCCTTCCCCTCGTCTTGCGTCTTCGACGCCGCCCTCCCCTCCTCCTCTCTCTTCTCCACTGTTCCACATCTCCTTCCCTCTCCACCTCCTCCCCTTGCCTTGTTCCCCCTTGCTCCCACTTCCGCTCTCCTCCTCTCCTAACCATGTTCTCCAGAGCTATCGTAGGATCATGAAATCAGCGGCTGGGCTGAACTTAGACTGAGCCCAGCAGGTGCAGAGCTGAGAACTGGGGTAGGAGGCTGATATGAGTTGGTTTTTGTTGTTTCATGAAACGGAGGGTAAGGGAAAACTATCGGGAAATCTCCCAGTGAATTCTCCCCTGCTCTCGCGCGTCAGTTCAGGTTGACAAGGGCTTGTCAAAAAGTGTCGTTCTGCTGCCTCGAGCCGGACTGGAAGATAGCAATGTCCCTGCCGAAGGTCCTGGACTTGAGCCAGTCGATGGCTACGAGAAGGCGATTGCGCATGGCGACTTGTTTGGTTATGTACCTGCCAGTAGCGATGAGGAGAGGGCGGGGAGGAGCGAGGGGGAGGAGGAGAGGGGAGAGGGGAGAGGAGGAGGGAAAGGAAGGGAGAGTAGGGCAGAGCAGTGAGGAGGTCCAGGAGGAGGGTGGAGGGAGTGAGAAGTAAAGGAGGGTGGAGACAGGAAGGAAGGGAGGAGGGAGAGTAAGAGGGAGAAGAGTTGGGGGAGATGAAGGAGGGAGGGGGAGGAGGAGGAGAAGAGTAAGAGGGAGAAGAGTTGGGGGAGATGAAGGAGGGAGGGGAGGAGGAGGAGGAGAGTAGTTGAGATCAGCTGAACTTACACGCTCCGCCAGAGGAACCAGCCAGCCTTGCCCGTTTGCTCTGTGATGACCAGCCTTCTCCAGACTGTCCCGTCCTTGGCCTGGAAGTACTTGGTGCCGTCCTTGGGGTTGGGATCCGGTTTCTCCGGGTTGATCTCAAAGTCTGATTCCTCCACCCCGATCTCGACCTGGAGAGCAGCGTGACGGGATGAAGGCGACAGGGGGAGGAGGGGAGGAGGAGAGGAAGGGGAGAGGAGGTGAAGAGGAGGTGAAGAGGAGGTGAAGAGGAGGGAGAAAATGAGTGGCTGAGGAAGGGGAGAGAAGAAGCAGGAGAGGAGCGGGAGAAGTGAGGAGGCAGGAGGGAAAAAGGCATGGCAGATGAAGATAGGAGAGGGAGGGAGCAACAAGAGCTGTCATGCCGAGAGGAATGAAAGTAGGAGCTGACAGACATGCCAGGAAGCAGGAGGAGAGGAGGAGTAAGGTGAGGAGGGAGAGACTGGGCAGGGCAGGAGAGGGCAGAAGGCACGGGTGCTGGAGAGTGAAGGAAGAGGAGGGAACGGGGAGAGGGGGAGAGAGGAAGGAAAAGTCCAACCTGGGCTAATGCCGAACTCCCTCCAATATACGCCAGGATACCCAAGTTGAGGAACTGGAAGGGTCGAGCGAACGTGATGTCGTTCCTGACGAGCTTCTGCGTGGGCAGAAAGTTCAGGGAGGAGGAGGAGGA